AGGTTAGGTAAGTGACATGAATGTGTGGGGCTGACATTGGATGTTGAACTGCGAAGTACAGAGAATTAATCGTCCAGCAGGCTCTCCCACGCGGAGGAGTTTGTCGTTTCCGGCTTCCCGGATGCCGAGCCAACTGCCAAGACGTTGACACTTATTAGATACTTAGATACTTAGATGGTCTGTCTTCACTTGTCCACAGCATTGTTTCCATCCGTTTCTGTCTTTTGCTAGAGTTATACACGATTTTGGTAGTGAATTGCGGCGGCGACGTCCGCAAGGCCTAGATCCATTGCTCGTTGCCAGCTGGGAATTCAGCTAGTCCATCTGTGCAACAAACATTTATCTGGTCACTAGCCTTCCTCGAGAGCGTTTTGCTTCGCGAGGAATCCATTCCAGAGTTCTTAGTGTCCATCTGTCGTCTGTTCTTCTCATTATATGACCAGCCTATCGATGTTTTGCCTTTCGAGACGTATTCCGCTGGATCGCGAAGACGAAACATTGATCTCATATTTGAACTGCGAGGTCCGACGAGATGTTGAGTGCGTCGGTTTTACTTCAGAAGACGTCAATTCAGCTCTCTATGGATTGATTCGAAGTGCCTGACATAGCCACATTGTCAAGCCACGTCTCCGCTGCGTAACAGAGTGCAGGGAGAACGGTAGAGTGAAAAAGGTGGGTCGGAGTCTGGGTCCGTCAGCTGGTCTGCGGCTTCCTTTAGGGGCCCAAAGGCGGTCTGCTCATCTCCTCCTTTTTAGTTCTCCTTTCAGATCGTTCTCCATGTTCATCGAACGTCATACGTAGGAAGACGTATCCGCAAATCTTTTTGGTGGAAAAATCTGCGTTTCTTTCAAATCCTGATAGTTTCTATCCTTTCTGAAACTCATTAGGTTGGTCATACAAAAGTCTACAAATTGACACATCTGCCGGCTTTGGGCATATGTGCTAATGTTGAGTTGATTGAGCCACGTTAGTTTCAGCTCATTCTTTTTCCTTAGCTGACTGTCCTTCGCTATTATGATATTTCTTCTTAAATCGACAATCATTTCATTATTTTGCTAATCATTGACGCTTTTCGCTCATCCTGAAAAACTTGCACAAAATGGATACAATGAACTTCGGCTTTTCTTAAGTACTGTATATGTCAGCCCCTATCTTTGACCCTCTATTTAAAAAGTACCTTAGTAATAAGAACATAATTAGAACATATCTATATGAACGTATTTTTTCGCTTTTGTAAAGAACCAAATCGTCGTTAATGGTGATCAAAATGTAGGAAGCCTTGTTCGAATGATTTTATTCACGATAAAATGAAGCCAACAAACGCAGAAAATGCAAAGAAAGGGTCTTATAACTCCATGTAAGACGGGCGATCGTTGGAGATTCTCATAGGATGGGAGTGCGCCGCGACGTGCATGGACAGGCAAATGATGAAATCTACCCAACTGTATAATTTCGGCAACATAACTACCTTCAATGGTGTTTTCTAGAAATATCGAGGTATTTCTCACAACAGCTAGTAAGCCATCTGTAGTTGTGTTGAACCACAAGACACAATTTGAAAATTATTGTTCATCCTGGAAAGATTTTCAAGGAGCGCAGTTGCCGCATAGCTGAAACCTTCCCTACGGATACGAATGCTCTCTAGCAGACTAGGAAAAAATCTTTCGAAGTCGAATGAAATGGATGATCTGAAGAGTGCAAAGGCATATGTTAGTGCAGACAAATTTAATTTCGAATTCATACATGACGATACTATGAGATTTTATGACTTAAATGCTGTTAGCAAATCGAGACAACTTCGAATTTAATAAAAACATGAGCAAGAAATTTTAATGGAGTAGATTCGCCCTAGAAATACTGTTAGGAGCTGCCTGAAAATGAAAGTGAAACTTTGCATTTTTCCCTATTTAAGATATGTAACGGTCTTGATAATGTACTCACCTAGAGTTTAAGTTCTTACCTTGTCAGTGGGAAAACTAAACCAGAGATCTGATGGATAACAGTATCATTATCTCTTGGAGTCGA